GACCTGGTCGGATCGCATTTTACAGATACAGCGCGAGAGGAGGGAGAGAGAGGTGCTGATCTAGCAGGCGGGGGAGGGGCCATACCGTGAGCGAGCGACACAAGGTGGAGGGATGGAGAGACGAGAGACAGCAACCAACCAAGCAAGTCTACTGGCGCTATTGTAGACTAATAGCTGCCATAGCTAGGCTATTTATCATCAAATATGATTATGTAGTACCTGTCTTGACTGCATCACACCAGGAGAAGCTAGTTAACCTGGCTAACATTAGCTAGCTAGGCTAATTGAGGCTGCAGTGCATGCGCTTTTTCCAACCTACAGTTACAAATAACAACAACTCCATTCAGAATATTAAGTAGCAGCCTACCTGTTGGCTCTTGGTCCTTGTAGTCTATCCTTCTCCTTTAACTTTTAATTCCGTAATTTTAATTCCATCGATTAGATATTTCCTAATTATTGCCACACATGGAGGCTCTGTGACTGTAGCCTTTTGCCACTTTGATGACGACAACAACAACAAGCTACAAGCCAGTGGTGGCTCTTCAGAGGAGGAAGGGGAGGACAATCCTCAGTGAATTTCATAACAATAGTAAAAAAAAAAAAAAAAAAGTTATCCTAGCTAAAACTATACTAAATATATTCACGTCACCAAATAATTTATTAAAACACACTGTTTTGCAATGGTCTACAGTAGCCTCAACACACTCTGTAGGGTAGCACCATAGTGTAGCCGGAGGACAGCTAGCTTCCGTCCTCCTCTGGGTACCTTGACTTCAATACAAAACCTAGGAGGCTCATGGTTCTCACCTCCTTCCATAGACTTACACAGTAATTATGACAACTTCCAGAGGACGTCCTCCAACCAGTCAGAGCTCTTGCAGCATGAACTGACATGTTGTCCACCCAATCAAAAGATCAGAGAATGAATCTAGTACCGAAAACATAAGCTACAGCTAGCTAGCACTGCAGTGCATCAAATGTGGTGAGTAGTTCACTCAAAGAGAAAGACAATAGTTGAACAGTTTTGAACAAATTAATTTATTCAGAAATGGAGAAGCAAGAGAGATATATATTTCATACTTTTTTTCACTTTCACTTACTTAGCTAGCAAATGCAGCTAGCTAGCTAATTTAGCCTCAAACAATAGGCTCAAACAGAGGGATGCTATGTTAGCTAGCTGGTGATGACAATCCAACACAACATTGGAACTCTTCCAAGTCAAGGTAAGCTTTTGGTTTGACTAATTTATTGCCACCGGGGCCCGCCGGTGTAACTGCTAAACTGCTCACTGAACTGCTTACTGACTGTATACTGTAACGTTACTGCATGACTGTAGCAGGTTTACTAGCACGTTAGTTCTATTAGCTATGTTGACTATGACGTTACTTTAGCTAATATGGTGACAATGATGTAGGCTGTGTGTAGCGGTTATGATATGGTTTGGCTTGGAAAGGTTTTTTCGCCTGGTCACATACAGCTGTGTTGAAGTCCACAAGCGAAGGGAAAAGGTGAGAGGAGAGCGCATACAGTGGGGAGAACAAGTATTTGATACACTGCCGATTTTGTAGGTTTTCCTACTTACAAAGCATGTAGAGGTCTGTAATTTTTTATCATAGGTACACTTCAACTGTGAGAGACGGAATCTAAAACAAAAATCCAGAAGATCACATTGTATGATTTTTAAGTCATTAATTTGCATTTTATTGCATGACATAAGTATTTGATACATCAGAAAAGCAGAACTTAATATTTGGTACAGAAACCTTTGTTTGCAATTACAGAGATCATACGTTTCCTGTAGGTCTTGACCAGGTTTGCACACACTGCAGCAGGGATTTTGGCCCACTCCTCCATACAGACCTTCTCCAGATCCTTCAGGTTTCGGGGCTGTCGCTGGGCAATAGGGACTTTCAGCTCCCTCCAAAGATTTTCTATTGGGTTCAGGTCTGGAGACTGGCTTGGCCTCTCCAGGACCTTGAGATGCTTCTTACGGAGCCACTCCTTAGTTGCCCTGGCTGTGTGTTTCGGGTCGTTGTCATGCTGGAAGACCCAGCCACGACCCATCTTCAATGCTCTTACTGAGGGAAGGAGGTTGTTGGCCAAGATCTCGCGATACATGGCCCCATCCATCCTCCCCTCAATACGGTGCAGTCATCCTGTCCCCTTTGCAGAAAAGCATCCCCAAAGAATGATGTTTACACCTCCATGCTTCACGGTTGGGATGGTGTTCTTGGGGGTTGTACTCATCCTTCTTCTTCCTCCAAACACGGCGTGTGGAGTTTAGACCAAAATGCTCTATTTTTGTCTCATCAGACCACATGACCTTCTCCCATTCCTCCTCTGGATCATCCAGATGGTCATTGGCAAACTTCAGACGGGCCTGGACATGAGCTGGCTTGAGCAGGGGGACCTTGCGTGCGCTGCAGGATTTTAATCCATGACGGCGTAGTGTGTTACTAATGGTTTTCTTTGAGACTGTGGTCCCAGCTCTCTTCAGGTCATTGACCAGGTCCTGCCGTATAGTTCTGGGCTGATCCCTCATCTTCCTCATGATCATTGATGCCCCACGAGGTGAGATCTTGCATGGAGCCCCAGACCGAGGGTGATTGACCGTCATCTTGAATTTCCATTTTCTAATAATTGCGCCAACAGTTGTTGCCTTCTCACCAAGCTGCTTGCCTATTGTCCTGTAGCCCATCCCAGCCTTGTGCAGGTCTACAATTGTATGCCTGATGTCCTTACACAGCTCTCTGGTCTTGGCCATTGTGGAGAGGTTGGAGTCTGTTTGATTGAGTGTGTGGACAGGTGTCTTTTATACAGATAACGAGTTCAAACAAGTGCAGTTAATACAGGTAATGAGTGGCGAACAGGAGGGCTTCTTAAAGAATAACTAACAGGTCTGTGAGAGCCGGAATTCTTACTGGTTGGTAGGTGATCAAATACTTATGTCATGCAATAAAATGCAAATTAATTACTTAAAAATCATACAATGTGATTTTCTGGATTTTTTTTTTAGATTCCGTCTCTCACAGTTGAAGTGTACCTATGATACAAATTACAGACCTCTACATGCGTTGTAAGTAGGAAAACCTGAAAAACCGGCAGTGTATCAAATACTTGTTCTCCCCACTGTAGATGCAAGGAATACAATGTGGCTGCTATGAAAGTGAACTGTGTTAATGCGTGATCATGGGTGTATTCATTCCGCCGATTCTGTTGAAAAACGTTTCTTAAACGGAAGCAAACGGAACGGGGATGAACATTCCTGAATTTGTCCAATAGAAACTCTCATTTGCAACTGTTGGACTAATGATTACACCCTTTATCAGCTAGACGCAGGCAAGAGTGTGCAAGGCGGTATTTAATGTGTCATCCTCTCTCATCTTAAACGGCACCGACCGCCACTGTGAAAAGCAAGAGCAGCACTCTCTCTACTGCAGCAGTTGCATTCGGATCTGTACGGGCCCTTTCAGACAAGTCATTTAAAATTACACATACCCGAGACCGTTGACAATCGTATCAGATCCGACCCAGACCGCTGACATTATTTAGAATTCTAGATCTGGACACGCTCGGGTCCCGGTGGATCCGTGAAGACCTCTAGTCTCCATCCTCTCCTGATTCAGAATGTCATTTTCATAGTCATGGCATGCTTGGTGAAAACCGAATATCCAATATAAAACAAATTACACCTTGGTAATTATGACCTGACCAGTCGAGGAACGACCCAGTTTTTCATCTTTACTGTAAAAAAAAAAGGTAGCTATTGGGACTGTTCGTGTACCAAAAGCCAACAAACCATTTGTTTTAAAGCTTCAGCTATTTACATGCCTTGCAAGAACGATTTCCGTAATAATCCTGTTTACATTTACATGACACATCTGAAATCAGGCAACTTGATGGCATTGATAAACGCAGAAAATCGCAAATCAAAATAGACGTTCTACCACAGCGACCATGTTATTCTTGGGAACCATTTTTTATTCTAAGTTCGGACATAAAGTTTGTACGGTAAAACTATTTCTAAAACATACATTGTTGTTCCGAACTCGCGCGAAAGAGGGAGGCTCGCTCGGCTGGTGCTAGCATCTGCGCACATCAAATACACCGCTGAAACGTCTATTAAAATCTTTACATGTCCTAATAATTCGAAAGACTGCTCACAAAACCAGGTATTTTAATCTGTGTATGTTTACTTCGAATTTGCCCATTAAAATACGTTTTTTACATGACTATTACATAATCTGCCTACTGCCAGTTTAATATCGAATTATTACTGTATAAACGTCTAGCTAACGTTAAATTAGCCAAACGCTGACTTCAACAGATCTTGCTTTATTTCAGTTATGAGCTATAGATATGATTCGCAACAAAAACTCAATTCAGAAACCTGTTTACAGATTTTTCCAATCGACTTTCTTGCCCAAGTTTACAATGCCACTCCTAGTGCAATATGCATAAGTGATCTGATTATATTACGAAATCTTTCCTATACACTTTCACCTGGTAGCGTACTACTGCATGTCTTAAATATCAGTAACATCCTATTTTCCTTACTTTTTGTTGCTTTATGAAACTAGCTACTTGTATAGATTAATGCAAATGACAACACAGCAGTCAGATTAATTGAAACTTTAATTCCAAGATTGAGAGACTTTGCATTAGACAAATCTGTAAATTAGGAAGTATCATGAACTAAAAAACAGAGCAAAATAAATATTGCATGTTGGATTACATTTTTTATTACAAAAGTAAAGCCAACCCAGATAAAAACAATTAACAGTACTATACAAATAAGAAAATGGATAAAACCAGAGTTCTACTGCAGATAGGGTGAATTGTGAATGGTAATATGCTTGGTGTTGTCTGTGGACCAGACAACGAAGACAAATCAAAATGGCCTCTATTCTTTATATTGTGCACTACTTTTCACCAGGACACACGTAGGACTCTGGTCAAAAGTAGTGCACTATATAGGGAATAGGGTGCCATTTGGGATGATGGATGAGGTAAGGTGGTCCGGTAGCATCTAGTCTGGTCCATGTCCCTTTCAAGTGTTTACAGTTTCAAAGTGTCATTTCAAGGCCATCTTGGGGGCCTGTAAGAGCTTTAGAAGTCAGCATCCAGCCGGAAGGCGTTGTCTGTAGTACCAGACATTACACCCATCCTCTGGTACTCCCCTACTCTCTTCTCAAAGAAGTTAGTCTTACCCTCCAGTGAGATGTTCTCCATGAAGTCAAAGGGATTCTCCACTCTGTAGATCTAGAAGAGAAGTTAATTGAATGTGTCTGCTAGTTGAATAAAATGCTTTGGTTTCAGTAACACCACCCATTTCTAGTAGCCAGAGTGCCCATCTGTGCAATCAAAACCAACCAACTCATTGTCACGTTTGGGTTGACAATGAGCAATGGTGTTGGCAAGAGCACATACAAATCTGGGACCAAGGCAAAATTTAAACTACAGTGGGGAGAACAAGTATTTGATACACTGCCGGTTTTCCTACTTACAAAGCATGTAGAGGTCTGTAATTTTTATCATAGGTACACTTCAATTGAGACAGAATCTAAAACAAAAATCCAGAAAGTCACATTGTATGATTTTTAAGTAATTAATTTGCATTTTATTGCATGACATAAGTATTTGATCACCTACCAACCAGTAAGAATTCCAGCTCTCACAGACCTGTTAGTTTTTCTTTAAGAAGCCCTCCTATTCTCTACTCATTACCTGTATTAACTGCACCTGTTTGAACTCGTTACCTGTATAAAAGATACCTGTCCACACACTCAAACCTCTCCACAATGGCCAAGACCAGAGAGCTGTGTAAGGACATCAGGGATAAAATTGTAGACCTGCACAAGGCTGGGATGGGCTACAGGACAATAGGCAAGCAGCTCGGTGAGAAGGCAACAACTGTTGCCGCAATTATTAGAAAATGGAAGAAGTTCAAGATGACGGTCACCAAGATCACCCTCGGTCTGGGGCTCCATGCAACATCTCACCTCGTGGGGCATCAATGATCATGAGGAAGGTGAGGGATCAGCCCAGAACTACATGGCAGGACCTAGTCAATGACCTGAAGAGAGCTGGGACCACAGTCTCAAAGAAAACCATTAGTAACACACTACACCGTCATGGATTAAAATTCTGCAGCGCACGCAAGGTCCCCCTGCTCAAGCCAGCGCATGTCCAGGCCCGTCTGAAGTTTGCCAATGACCATCTGGATGATCCAGAGGAGGAATGGGAGAAGTTCATTTGGTCTGATGAGACAAAAATAGAGCTTTTTGGTCTAAACTCCATTCTCCGTGTTTGGAGGAAGAAGAAGGATGAGTACAACCCCAAGAACACCATCCCAACCGTGAAGCATGGAGGTGGAAACATTATTTGGGGATGCTTTTCTGCAAAGGGGACAGGATGACTGCACCGTATTGAGGGGAGGATGGATGGGGCCATGTATCGCGAGATCTTGGCCAACAACCTCCTTCCCTCAGTAAGAGCATTGAAGATGGGTCGTGGCTGGGTCTTCCAGCATGACAACGACCCGAAACACACAGCCAGGGCAACTAAGGAGTGGCTCCGTAAGAAGCATCTCAAGGTCCTGGAGAGGCCTAGCCAGTCTCCAGACCTGACCCCAATAGAAAATCTTTGGAGGGAGCTGAAAGTCCCTATTGCCCAGCGACAGCCCCAAAACCTGAAGGATCTGGAGAAGGTCTGTATGGAGGAGTGGGCCAAAATCCCTGCTGCAGTGTGTGCAAACCTGGTCAAGACCTACAGGAAACGTATGATCTCTGTAATTGCAAACAACGGTTTCTGTACCAAATATTAAGTTCTGCTTTTCTGATGTATCAAATACTTAGATTCCATCTCTCACAGTTGAAGTGTACCTATGATAAAAATTACAGACCTCTACATGCTTTGTAAGTAGGAAAAGTGTATCAAATACTTGTTCTCCCCACTGTACATCTTTACAGGCAAGACTCAGTCAGGCGTCTATATCGTGTTGGCACCCCTCAGTCAGCAGACCACATGCCCACTGAGCTGAGAACCAGCACCAACACTCAGCTCCCATTATCAGCTGAGGTACGTACCCCTGCGCTTCTCATCATTGCTAGCCCATTTCTATCAATCACATGAAAATTAAGTTGGCTCATGGGCCCCCCCCCCCTACATAGTAAGTGGGTTGCCATTAGGGACTGAACCATGGACTACCATCTCACCTTGTCAAAGCCCAGCTCCAACATCAGCCTGTCAGCCACAAACTCTATGTACTGGGTCATCAGGTCACAGTTCATACCAATCAGCTTTACTGGAAGGGCTTTTGTCAGGAACTCCTGAAATGTGAACAGACATCAGCAATTAGAGGTTTAATATTCAAATCCAGATACAAAAAAGGTAGATATCATCCATTAAGCACAATTAGGGCCAGGTGTGTGCCAAATGGCTCCATTTAGTACACTACTTTTGACCAGGGCCCATAGATCTGTAGTGCAGTATCAGAGACATCTAGTACAGTATAGGTAAAGGGTGACATTTGGGTCACATATCAAGAGTAGGCTTAATCAGAGTCAAGGCAACAGGCCCTTATTGTTAATTCAACATACCTGCTCAATCTCCACGGCGTTCCTGATGAGCTTGGTGACCGTCTCCTTTGAGGGCTTGTTCACCAGGTGCTTGAACATGAGGCAGGCAAAGTCGCAGTGCAGGCCCTGGATTTAGACAGAACTAACTTAGTAAGATAATGCCAAGTAGTCACGAAGAATGTTGCTTTTCCCCCCCCCACATTGAAACAAACACACAAAGGGTATCCAAACATCATAATAGTGTTATTGTAACCAAATTCTGATGGATGACAATTTCAACCAGGTTTTTCCCTATGGGATAATGATGTAGAAGACTAAAATCAACATTGTGAAAACACCCACCTCGTCTCTGCTGATGAGCTCATTGGAGAAGGTCAGGCCAGGCATGAGGCCCCTCTTCTTCAGCCAGAAAATGGACGCAAAGGACCCAGAGAAGAAGATCCCCTCAACAGCAGCGAATGCAACCACACGCTCACCTGGAATACAAGCAACACCCATTGCCAACTGATTGACCACAACAATCCTATGCAGGTTTTTAAGAAATGGAAATGAATGTACCTACCAAATTCAGCATTTCTGTTACCGATCCAGTCCAGGGCCCAATCAGCCTTCCTCTTCACACAGGGGAGAGTTTCAATGGCATTGAAGAGGTAGTCCCTGTATGACAAAGTACATTGGGCACAGTCTCAGAGAATGCTTAAGGCCGCACTACAAAATGCTTAGACTTAATAAATTGCTTAGGGGGTTTGAATTCAGTGCATTGGTGGAGTACACTTTACTATCATGAGGCTCAGTCAGGCGTCTATATCGTGTTGGCACCCCTCAGTCAGCAGACCACATGCCCACTGAGCTGAGAACCAGCACCAACACTCAGCTCCCATTATCAGCTGAGGTACGTACCCCTGCGCTTCTCATCATTGCCAGATAATAGAACATATGTGGGTAACAATACATATGCTAAATATTGGTAGTGTCCTTGCTGTCAACTAAAAGCGTAGACTGACAGAATGACACTGACCTCTCTTTGGGGTCTTTGATGTAGGTGTCAATGAGCAGGCTGTACATCTCAGAGTGGATGTTCTCCATGGCGATTTGGAAACCATAGAAGCATCTCGCTTCAGTCACCTGGACTTCCTGTGTAAATCGCTCCACCTAGTGGTGAAAAGGAAGTTAGGTCAACATTAAATTCCACACAGCCACGTTTGAATACTGGATGAGTTGCCATTTTCTAACCCTCATAGATCAGTGATTTCTGAGTGTATAGTTATATTGATTGTTGTATACATTCAAGATCAACTTACCAGGTTCTCATTGACAATGCCATCACTAGCAGCAAAGAAAGCCAGTACATGAGAGATGAAGTATCTCTCCTCATCCTTCAGAGACTCCCAGTGCTGTGTGTCTTTGGACAGATCAACCTGGAAAACAAAATGCAGAATCAATAAAATGTCCTCGACTAAAAAGAATGACTGCATGCCTGTATTTGTCTGCACCAAGTCAAATGTTTAACTGAATGCATGGACCAATGATGTGTGCGAGTTGGACATGCCTCCTCAGCTGTCCAGAATGAAGCTTCCGCCTTCTTGTACATCTGCCAGATGTCATGGTACTTGATGGGGAAAATGACGAACCTGCGTGGATTTTCCTTAAGGAGTGGCTCTTCTGTGTTGAATTTGTTGACATCTTTGGGCTTAACCTGAAAGAATAAATAAAAAAGTGGAATTAATATAATTACTGTTAGAATGTTGTTTAAGTAAACGAGCATATTTCTCGAAGTTAAAATCTGAAAAGATCATATAATTAAAAAAGGGGACATTTTAAATACATACGCAAGAAATACTAAAAGGCCTACCATACCAGTTTATGTATAATGTCAAGATTCCCATAAAATAACGTTAGATGGTAAAAAGCACTCTAACTGTAAGTCGCTCTGGATAAGAGCGTCTGTTAAATGACTAAAATGTAAATATAAAGAGCCATTGTAACTAGCTAGAGGCCAAGACAAAGGGTTTCGTAACATGGCTCGAGTGGAAGGCTACTGGCTAGCTAGCCTTATGAAACACCGAGTAGCCAACTTGTGTAACTAGTTATGCAAATGACAAAGCTACTTAAACATTATGCTTGTCTTGTTGAGTTTCTAGATAGCTAGCTAACTTCTCAAATAGCGAGGCGCATAGTGTAATCATGATTTGAAGGCTCACCAGCTTAACGCTAGTTAGTTAGGACGAAAAACACTGTTGGCGCCAAATAACCACCTCAAGATCAAATTCTAGCGAATTACCAGGCTAATTACACCAGTCATGAAGCTGTAAAATGGTCACTATACATAAACTATTTGAGCACCTTTAGCAGAAGTCTTGTTCACTCACCTCAGAGTCAAAGATTTTGCGCGCGGTTTTTGAAGCTAGAATCCGGGTACTGTTCAGGCTAGGAGGCTGCATGAGGAAAAAAATACATTTTTAAAGAGTGGATTCCGTGATAAATTACCTAGTTAGCTAATCAACCATAACCTTGATTGCTTTAGATTCAATTCAGTAATGTGCTACTAGACAGACGTGACCATTGGTCACACTCACTGACAAATTGCCTAAAATACAAAATGAACAGTTCAAACGTACGGTGTTTTCTTTGTCAACGAGCGAAAGGTTGTCCATTTGAGTGGTGATTGCGTTTTTGTTCTTCTTAGTGAGTGGTGAACGAGTTGTAAGCATTTTGAATGACGGACAGGTGAGACGACGGAATTAATTAAGAGGATAAGTTAAATGTCGGTAAAATTGTACGAAAATCAACAAAAAAGAAATTAAATGTATATTACTATATATTCACAAACATATACAGTACAACAAGCTAGCTAGGTTTCCCTAACAAATCAATGCCGCAACTAAATTGCAACGTTTGGAGTTCCCTATTTATTGAAATTCTAATGGTCGGATCCAAGCAGCCAATAGAAACAAAGTTGATGGTCGGTATTTACATTTCCGGTATGGCGGAGCCAATCAGATTGCAATTCTCTCTCACTCCAAAGATTGCGGGAAAATTCAAAGCTTTTTTCATGGTTACAAAACCGGGAAAGGAAGGAGTTACCTAATGTCAAGAAAAGGCGCGCAAATATGAGACAATAGAGCTAGCATATGGTTTAAAACTTTGAATTACAAAACATAACGTCTTAGATAAAGTTCGAAATTAGTAGAAAAATGCAACGGCGTACAGCAAGTTTAGCTACTAAAGCATGATGGATGGCTAGGTAACGTTAACAAGATTCAACTGATTTATTTTACTAACAAGCAGTATAAAATTTAACTGCAGTCAATAGAGATTTTATAACTTGCTTGCAACTTTGGTTAAATTGCCATTATAGAAAAAGCCTGCAAACAAATTGTGTTTATCTTCCCGCTACTACGGATGCAATCCATTCTGTTGATGTGGCCAGCTGGCTTGTTTATCAAACCCTACTTTTTTGTTTTTCAACAAATAAAATGTAGCCAAACGTTTAAATGGCGCAAGATAGCTATGTATGTTTACATCATACACATACAAAGGTCAACTTTCATACCCAAGTTACTATTTACCTGATATTTAAGCAGAAAGACCAATTTAACCTGGTCTCAGAGCATTTCGTATGGTATGTATTAATTTGTGGATGTCCATCACCCATTTCGTATGGATTAGCTTGACCGTAATCTTACTTTTCGCTAAAGCTGTTTAATGTAGTTGCAGAGGAGCATGATACCATTTGGAAATAAATAATGCTACCTGGATGAAACAGTAGTTTTACGTTTATTCTGGTGTGATTCAAGTCATGTTGTAGTTTTTATTTTGGTCAATCAAATTTGTGACAATCCACTCTGTTTTGTTACGTGCTGCTGGGCGCAAAGTCAAAACGAGACAAAAGACGGTCAAAACAGTGAAGTTGGCCCTTGAAGATCCTGTTGAAATGAAATTGAGCTCCATCTATTGGTTGGGAGGTAAAGTTGAAAAGTAGGACAAAGACTTGTTCTTTGTCTTACAAGTGCTACTTTTTACTATACATATCAATATCGTCTTCCATAAAAGGGTGAATCATTTCACCCGAACAGAATGGGTACTGTTGTACGGAATATTAGAAATGTTTGGCTGTGTGACACACTTCTCAATGCTGATGCTTGCGAGATCCAATCGTAACAAAATGGTTACACAAACCATTGTCTTCCGTTATATAAGGGAATAGGGATACCTAGCCAGTTGCACAACTGAATGCATTCAACCGAAATGTGTCTTCCGCATTTAACCCATTTCCTCTGAATCAGAGAGGTGCGGGGGAGTAGTTGTTGGGGGTTAACTGCCTTGCTCATGTGCAGAACAGTAGATATATCGGGGGATTCGAACCAGCGATCTTCCGGTTACTGGCCCAACGCGCTTAACCGCTAGGCTACATGCAGCTAGCCTAACCTCAGCCACCTCCTGTGCAGAAGTCTGTGGACCAACCATCCTGAGTGAGGAAAAGGGAACGGATGAATGCTACCTCGTCCTCTCGCAGACCCATCTGGTCAGCGTGGGTGATGTGGTATTTACAATGGTTATTTTGAATGTTATCTAACCAACTTCTCTAATTCATTCAATATATATTTCATAATGTTACACGTTACTTGTTCTTTTGTTAATCAAACATACTCAAAGGGGGCAAATATAATTAAGCTTTTTGGTCATTATATCACTTTGCTACTAGAAAAAAATCAGTACAGGATGCAATAGCCATATAATTAGAATTCTATTGCAAAAGCTTGACAAAAAGTGCTACGTTTAGGTGTGATATTGTGGTGTGTGTCCATAAACTTACGAATTGGAAACCTGAAAAAGCTTTTCTTTATTCACACATTGTACATTATTTTATTTTCACTGAGTGGCGTTGTTGTCCTATATTTTAGTGGGAGCGCTTACGTGAATGTCGGTCAGTAAGACAAATGGGCGGGTACAGTGTTAGCCAGTTAAAATCCTCTGATCGTTCTTGAACGGTCGTTTCCAATTGGTCGCGCCCCCTTTAGCGCTGTAAAATACTGCAATTTAATTCGAGGAACGTTGTTACTGGGTGGTGTGGGGAGACGGGTATTCGAAATCAAAGGGGATCGAGTGTTCTTGGGTAACAGAATACGTAATATTATTGTCAACACTGCTGAGATCATAGAATTAGCAATTAGAATAATTTAATAGGATCACTATGGATGAGATTGAGAAATAGCAGCGTTGGGTGTTTCATCATATGTTATTGAGAAAATATAGACCAGACTACCAAGTGTATTTTATTTTGTATTTTATTATGAAAAAAACAATGGGACTCATAACAATGACCATTGCCTACATTGAAAGCTAGTAAAACTACACATTGGGACAACACTTTTCTCAGAGTGACCATATCTATAGAATTAATTCATACATTGATTACTCATATTATTAGTATAGTGAAGCTTTATAAAGTATTTAGTATTTATTAAGTAATAATGTGAGGTATTTATACTGGTTATACTGTATCTGTAATAAAACAAAAACAAAACGATCAAGCTATCAAAAACAGCACTTCTTAAAACAAATGTTTATTAAATAATATGCAAAGAAAGTAGGTAGTATCACAGTGAGGAATACTGTCCACTGACATATTTTAAAATATCAACAACATATATTGATGTATTGTCAATAAATGCAGATTGGAATACACATAACAATCATATATAGATATTCATACATATTTACAGTCACAGAGACCAATAGTAACAGATACTGTAAGCACGATGCAAAGGCTTTGGCAAAAAGAGTGCATACATTTAGCTAAACATTACATACTGTATACATATTACATAAGTAAACATAATTACATATAGAGATCAAGGATGTACAAAACAAGCACAATAAAAAAAATCCAGTGCAAGGTCAGTTTGTTTCTGTCCATGAATGTGTAGCAGCCTATTGTTTTGTTTAATTTCTCCTTGGTCTTGTGTGGTCGGTGGTGGGATATTGTCCTGAGATGACTGTACGGCCTGGGAGCCCCAGCTAATTTGGGGCACGGACCATCACACTGAGAGGAAGGTTGGAGCCACTAGACGGGCCCTTAGATACCGTCATCTTGTGGAGGTCGCGGACTTCAGCCGGCCACGAGGAGGTCCTCTTGGAGGTCATGTGTCGGCGAGCATGCTTGGTCAAGTGGTCGCTGCGCATAAAGCGCCGATCGCACACGTTACACACAAACTTCTTCTCGCCAGTGTGTGTTCGCCTGTGGCGGGAGAGCTCATCAGAGCGGGCAAACTTCTTGTCGCAGCCCTCCCAGTGGCAGCTGAATGGTTTCTCACCTGGTCGGGAGGATAGAAATGGTAACCATAAGTACATCAGTGGAAGATAACACACTTCATATTCAACATGATCATTAATCTAAATGCCATTGGGTAGAATACCCATTAGTGTCGTATAGAGTGGGTACCTACCAGTGTGAGTTCTGAGATGGGCCTTGAGGTGGGAACTTTTGAAGTAGGTCTTCTTACAGCCAGGGAAGTTGCAGACGTAGTTCCGTCTGCGGGAGAAGTCAGCTTGTGTGACATTGCTGCTCTGACCTGAGGGCATGTAAACTGGAGCTGGGGCCAGGGGCAGGAGCTTGGTGTTACCCAGGGTCATGACAGTCTGTGCGCATGACGGGGCCTGGGACACGGGAGGCTGGGGAACCACAAACATCACCGTCCCCTGAGTCACAGAGGAGCCCACCAGCTGCAGCGGCCGGGGGAAGGAGGAGGGCGACTGGGGTAGTATGGGCTTGGGCCCCCCCTGGGTTATCTGGACCGGGCCTGCCTGGACGAACGCAGAGATCATCCCTGTCCGCCCGTTGACTGGAAACACCTGGCAGAGGACCTGGGAGCTGGGAATGGGGGGTGAGGACCGGGAGGTGGCTGTGGCCTGGGATGGGGACCTTTGGGTGGGAGGAGTAGAGGGGCTTGTGCTGCTGTCAGGTGAGGATGCTCTGCCTTGGTCCTTCTCTACCTTAACACACGGACCAGTGCTGCAGCTCTGTGGTTGAGTCTGCATAGGAACGGTCTCAGCCAGAAGGACTGCAGTAGGGTTTCTGTTGGAGTTGGTGTCTGTGTGCTGCCCTACGAGGGACTGAGGTGGAATGTTGTTGCTGTGCTGTGCGAGGGCCCTGTCAGCAGTGTGCCGGATGACGCTGGTCACCATGGCTCTGCTGGGCAGCTCTGGAGCTCCATAGCTCTCGAAGATGGGGGCCGTACCAGGTCGTTGGCCCAGGAGAGGGGCATTTCTGCAGGGCAGACCTGTACAGAGTCTGGGCCGGGTTAAGACTGGTCTGGGGCCTGAGCTGGAGCTGGCCAATGAGGTGGTGGTGAGGACAGCTGTTGTGGTAGCGGTCTCAGCAAAGCTGGGGCTGTGAGGGGGGGTCATGCACTGGAAAAAAGAAAGAGAAACAGGAATTAAAGAAAAATATATTTTCTCTATAAGAAAAAAAAGCTTATTGTAGTTTTGATTGATTTAAAATGACAGTTTTGGTTCCTCAGTTGCGACCCAAAAAATGTATCTTCTTACAGTATACATTTTAACCACAGTAGCCTACATAATGAGATTCCACTTACCATTGATGAGAGTGCGATCGGGTCCTTGGGGGACTCGATGATCTCAGGGTGCAGGAGGAGAGAGTCGCAGGAGTCCGAGGTAGGGGTCAGGGGTCGTGGCTTGTGGTTTGCTGAACTTTGACCCCAGGAGCTCATGCTGACAAGTGCCTCAGCGGCCTCCAGGTCATGGTACTGGAAGGTGCTGCAGCAGGACTGCTCACTGTCGTGCCTGTTCCTCTCCATCATCATCACCCTGATGTCCGTTACATCAGCCTGAGGGACGGAGGGAGGCCACTGGGAAGATGCAAAGTCAATCACCATTACAGCACAATGTGTCCCAAATGGAACCCTATTCCCTATATAGTGCACTACTTTTGACCAAAGCCCTATGGGCCATTAGATCAGCCTGAGGGACGGACGGAGGGAGGCCACAAGGAGGATACACCGTTAATCGCCACCAGGGACAGATTGGGACCAGAAATCAGCCTGGGCATTTCTAACATGGACCAGCCCATTATTTTTTTTCTCTGGCCCCCATTATTAGCCAAATAAATCATTTTATTTAGACTGGCCCAATAGGCTAAAGATGGACCAGCCCATCTGCCATTTGCCCGAACTGCCCAATGGCCAGTCCGTTTCTCATCCCCATTACAGCTCAATAGCTTCTGATGGTTGCAGACACTTCCAACACTGACATCTACAGTATCTCACTAAATATTTCTAGAGTCTACTACTGCAATGGTTCCCTCAAAGATCATATAAATATCTCATGACCAAGGTTCATTGAACCAAGGGAGATCCATCAGACTGTTTGAGTCCAAGTCATGAACCATAGAAGCCTCAAAATGGTGGAAACACCACATAGACAGTAGTCAATGAACAGGAGTTGAGTATTCTTCTAGATGTGCACATAGCTGGGTAGTGCAGTGGGCTGGCATCTGCTGAATGCTCAGTTGCACATCTAGAAGAATACTCAGTTGCTGAATGCTCAGAGCGGCTGCTAGCTGCCTCAGAGGCATGGAGAGACAGAAAAATAGAGAGGGGCCCCACTGCAGCGCTGGGCAGCAATTAGAGCAGGTGGGCGCACCCAACCCTACCAGCTCCCAGTAGCCCACATAACATTGGAGTTGGGAGGCATCACCAAAAATAGACCTGTGAGTGATGTGCTACATCAACCAAAACCTACTTTAGTCTGTGTTTAAAGTGTATACTGTGGTGCATGAGGGGGTGGGGGGCTGCATCAGGAAGTCTTGTGTTAAATTGAGAAACCCCCACCCCATTTAACTGTGCTTGAGGACTGAGGACACTCCCTAGCATTAACAGCCAGTCACTTTGTTTTGTTGACACCAATGGAAGCACCTCATAATCCAAATCCAACCTTCATCCAACATAGATTATAAAATTAGATGGAATCAATTAGTCAATCAATCAGTTGTCTATTTATGTACAATATGTTCAACCAAGCTGACTGGAACAAAATCCCCATAGCAATACGACAAAACAGTCACATTAGCCTAATAAACCCAATAAAATGCAGAAATATGTGTATATTTGCCTACTAGGGTCCACGGTAACGTAATACCATCACATAACAACGAATAATCTAATTACAAAGTAATACAATGTAACAATGCAGTGATATAGAGCAGATACAATGTAGCAATGTTGATACAGTGGCGGTTGAGCAGGGATACATTAGTTTCAATCTGACCTCAAATAAACCAGACCGCCTGTGCGAAAAAACACCACGGTCAACTTGGGCTGCTTGCTTCAATCAATGCATGCAATGCAAGTTATAATACTGTAATATATGTATGGCACTCATCGGTATTTTATCGATGAGCTTTGTTATAAATACCTGAAGATAACAACTTAATACCATTAGTTACTTAGCCAATTTAAAGTAAAAATCCATCAACTTACCCGACAAGATTGCTCTGAAATCGGGGGTGATGTAAAAGTCAGCATAGGAAAGTACGAGTAAAAATAACAATAGCGACACTAGCAATGCGAACACTCAATGAGCCCTGAGCACACAAGTATTGCCGCTGCCAATAGAGGAAACTGGCCTCAGCTGAGTGAATCAAAAGCCGAGACGAAAAAAAACAGAAACAAAATTCGGAATAGACTGGCTGGTGGTAACATGTTACCAATCAAAAACAAAGGTGTAGCGGACGCCGTCCAATCAGAGCGCAGACAGCGCGAGATCAGTACGTGACCGTGGCCCGATTGGAGGAAAGAGGGTGCGTGGCTGTTGGAGGGCGTGACGGTGGAGTCAGCGGTGTCAGAGTAAACCCAGTGAACTCGGTGCTCGAGAACTAGGGGAAAGGTTGAAACCGCGAACAGGCGAAATCGTGAGATATTTGCACGCGTCTGGCTTGCTTTGCCAGGGGAGCGCGCGCAAAGCGGGCTTGCGCAAAATGGGGGACACAAAGAAATGAATAGGGAAGCTGTAGAATATAGGCTACGTGAGCTTCGAAAATAAACAATTTAGCCCCGGTTATGATAAATGTGAAACAATATTATTGCGCCTTTGTTTTATTATAGCTGAGTGTAATTACTGTGTAATAACTGGTGTAATAAATGCCTGTTACTCAGTGTAAATACATGTTAATCAGTCAGGATCCTCAAATTAATTTGAGATTTATTTTAGAGAAACAGTAATAAGATAATATAATTAGGATACATGATTATATTTTTCATTTTCCTGATCTATGGGAAAATGGGTGGGGTCAAAATATAGATGGAGCTTCATTGTTTGGAAATGCATCTATAGGCTAGTCATAATATACATGATATGTATATTTCAGCTTTGTTCATACATTCTGTCTCTTATTGTTTTCCTGTGCGCTGTGTCCTTTTCCTTTTCTCCAGTCTCTGAATTTGCACCCCACTCTCCCTCCTCCTTTTCCTCCCCCAATGGGCGAACCCAAGGAACCCAATGACTCCAATGCGTTTAGGTTGTAAACAGGCTCCCGATAAAAAAAAAATTCAGGGCGGGGCCTCTGAAGGAGGGAGCTTTGTTGTGGCTGTATATTAACCCTTAAAAGAGCCTTTGTATTTCACTCGGTGCTGTCCAGGCTTGAGCACATGCCACATCCAGACCCAAAGGGCTTTGTTCCATCTGATAGTGAAGTGAACAACAGAAAATGAGCACCACTTCTGTAACTAAGAAAATGCAGAAATAATTATTCGTAAAAACAATGTTGTAGGGATCTTGGAGGGTTGAGAGAGAATATGTGTCAGTCAGTCTGAGATGGAGGCAGCAGACAAAGCTTTTTCTCACTCCATGCCCGCTCCCTGGAGATTGTATTAAGCCCACAGAAATAAACCTTGTCTCAATCTATGTGGCAACCAAAGAGAATGAAGTTGTTGTTTATTGGACATGCATGCTGTCTGACAGCTTTCTTTTGTATTAAAATGTGTAGACAATCACAGCAGAAAATATGAGACCACCCATTTCTATAAGATTCTTAGGTTCCTTCCTGATTTGTGACTTCCTTACAATGATAATGACAATCAAAGTATTAAAGCAATGAATGTGTTTCCCTGCCTTGTATGAAATTGTATTGGTATGAATTTTATGCTTTCACATCAATATGACAATTCACAAAGATGACTTTGTTCACATAAACACACATGTATTCACAGGAAAACATCTAAGATATCCATTCCAAAATAACTAGACAAGTCTTGTCGTGGGAAAACAATGTCATCTGAAAGGGTGCAGCTTGGGTTGAGATGAGTTCAATTGGGGATGGAACATATAAGATCTCCAGGCAGTCACTTTCAGTTTTATACACTGTTGTCTGGATCTTGTTTCTGCAGGGGTTGGACTATGTAGTGTTAACTCTCTCTCTCTCTCTCTCTCTCTCTCACACATACACATACACACATACAATACAATCCAGTCTCACCTTGTACACACAGTGAGTTCTCTTCATTCTGTAGATTGTGTTGTTCTAAGGCAACGCATAGCAGTGGAGGCTGCTGAGGGGAGGACAGCTCATAATAATGGCTGGAACGGAGTTAATGGAATGGCATTAAACACATGGAAACCATGTGTTTGGTGTATTTGATACCATTCCACTAATTCCACGAGCTCGTCCTCCCCAATTAAGGTGCCACAAACCTCCTGTGATGCATAGCACCTGTCGAGGCGGTGGGTGTAGAAGGCATTGTAATGTTGTGTGTGTGTAGTAGAAGACTGTTTGGCTGGGAGTTTTAGGGTGACGCCACACTGCGAGCCAAGGGTAGCCCTGGGCTGCTATGGAGACAGCTGAGAGAGAGCTGGTGGAAGGGGAGAGAGAGGGAGGTGGTGGGAGGAGAGTGAGGCTGAGGTAAACTGAATGAACTTTGATACACACACACTCACGCACACATGCTCATACACACACACCACGCCTCCAGACTCCAGTAGAGGGGTGGTAGTGCACATATATAACCTCTTCAGCTGACAGCCACTCCCTGCTAATATACACTGAGGGAAAACAGATCTGTCTCCCCAACTACCCTGCTGACCTAGCATTTACACTTCTGACATTTTCTAACCACAGAATGTTTAAAGCATTGCCTTGCTTTAAAACAAACTCATTTGGATCTTTTCTTTTCCTGGATCTTTTGTTGGATCAATATAGCAACTGTATAACCAACTGGTTGAATGATGCTAAAATGTCACACTTACATAAACCTGACCTAAATAGGATCACACATAAAATCTAGCGTTTTCCAAAACATCCTTTGGGGGGACCGGGGACGAAAGTCATGTAATGTCTTACGAACAAGGAAGTCATTGTTCAACACAGCCAAATGTCAACTCCAGTTTCTGAGTGATCTACATTCAAGGGTGGACTGGCCATCTGGCATTTTGTGCAAATGCCAGATGGGCTGGTCCATTTTTAGCCAAGTGGGCCTGTCTAACTTGTTTTTTTTGGTGCTAAATGATAATTATCTGGCTAATAATGGGGGCCTCAAGGAAAAAATTGGCTTTGTGGGGGCCTCAAGGAAAAGCATTGTCCGGTGTGTTAAAAATGGCAGGGCCGATTTCTGGTTCCAGTCCGCCCCTGCCTACATTTGAAATGTTTTACCTTGTATAGTCATGCTTTTACTATATACAGGTGTGTCTGTGTCATGCTAAGTGAATAGTTTTTCCTATGAATCAAATTAGAATTCCAGAACATGGATGATATATTAATCAAAATTGCACTATGACATCGACATATGGCTACATGAGATGCTAATTGGGT